TTTGGTTAAAATATTTTATATTTTTAATAGAGAAAATATATAATAATAATTTATATAAAGATTTCTGTGCCTATAATGACCCCAAAATAGAGAAGAACATAGACGGCAGGTTAAAAAAAAAAAAAAGCTAAAAAGAAAAACTCAACTACCATCATTTGAAAGACTAGAAGTTTCTAAAGGCACAAGACTTACGCTTATATGATTTATAGGGTAAAATTATCTTTTTAATTTTTTTATAAAGATAAAATTGTCTTGAAAAATAAAATTCTTGAAATTAAATTTCATAGTTTTAAACAAAAAATTTAATTCAGGATTTTTTAATGAAATTACCATTCATGAAAATTCTAATTCATATATACCAAAGGTCAAGATTTCTATCCCAATTTTATTTTTATCTTTAAAATTTAGCTCTATCAAATAAGGTTTTAGTGATTTTACAATTTTTCAAGTCTTTGATGTAGCTGGCTTTTGCCTCTACACTGTACAGTTTCCTTCAATGAAATTTCACTTTCCATTTCAAAAACAAAAAAAAATTGGTCCTTTTTCTTTTTACTAAACAAGGATAGGTATAACTACTTACTGTCCGTTTGGATTGAGGATTTAATCGATTTTAGGGGCAAAAAAAATTGATTAAGCCATAATTTACCCAACATCCACTTTTTTTCAAAATCGATTTTTTTCTAAAAAATTGATTTTTTCCCAACGCTCCAAATCTCAGCTTCTCCGCTTTTGCATTTTTTTGTTACAAAGTTATATGAGCAAATTACATAAAAAGTCCAAAAAAAATCACAAAAAAAGCACAAAATTTAATAAAACTAAAACAAAATTTTTTCTCTTCTTTTTTTTCTTAATAAAATTTGAATCTTTAAAAAAATTACTAACATGAGTATCCAAACAGATTGCGTTATAACATGATCAATTATGATTAAAATCTACCACTTAATCATTATTTTCATAATCTATTATACCCAACTATCAAACGGACCTTAAAAGACAAAACAAAGCAAGGCTGCTTGACTCATAGGCTGACAGCTGGATTTCTCCCTAAAGTAAATATCCTCATAAATGTTGGGAACTTCAAAACAAATATGCAAAGAGTCATCTCCAGCATGCGCCCCTCTTGCCATCTGATCAGTACAGAAAGTGGCTTCACACAAAGCACGCAACACTGCATAATTAGTCTTACTAAATAATGTAGACCGCACATGGAGAATCTCTTCCATAAAAGGATGATCGGGTGATGTCCCTCTTGCAATTAGATTAATTGCTTCCAGTGAATTCGAGTGTATTTAGACCTTATCAAGATTAAGCATAGCAAACACTTGGATGCCTTTTCGTATAGCCATAAGTTCCGCAATTGTAACAGGGATTTGCCCAAGCTTCATCCTGAAACCAGCTAACCATTCACCTTTGGAGTCCCTTAATAACACCCCCACATGTAGCTTGGGAGTTCTGTAAGACCGATGCATCCACATCTACATGAAAGACTCCTTACTCATGACTAATCTTCCTGATCTAACGAGCTTTGAGACCCACAATCCTCAAGGAGCCCAAATTCTTTTCTTCCAACAGTTGTTGTTGGCACAAGAAAATAGTATTACTAACAAAAGGGTAATAACCCCAAAAAATTCTTCAACTGCCACCTGTCCACAAAAGCTAGCATATATGGCAAAAAACTTTAATTCATAGAAAGCCAATCCATCGATTTGAACCTGCTTTGTGGAAAGCAATCTAGTAGATCTAATCTTGCAACTTGCAAGAAAAAAAGGAATCATAATATAAAGGGTTAATATTGGCCTCCCAAATCTCTCTAGCTATTTTACAGTCTCTTAGAATATCTATAATAGTCTCATCTCTCACATTCAAAAAGACATGATTCACTCAGCACAAGACCTCTATGGGCTCTAATGCTTTGTTTGGATGGGAAGAAAATATGAGAGAAAAGAAAATATATAAAAAAAAAATTTTTCCCTATTTATATGAGGAGGAAAAAGTCAGAGAAAAAAAAATTGGAAAAAAAATGAGGTGTGGCTCATTACATTTTGCCCCAATTTTTTTTTTTTATAAGTGAAGAGATTTTAAAAGTAAAATATTTTTTTCATCGTCTACCCTCCCATCCGCCTCTTTGTTTTTGCGCTAGACCCCATCTTCTACCAAGCAGTGGCTCGTCTTCAGCAGCTTTGACCTCAATGAAGAAGACGATGAATGGCGAGCTTGTTTATTATATTTTCATTTTGTTTATCTAAATATATGATAATATATACTTTTATGTTATTATATTTAATTTTAAAGAGTGCCCACTTTTGATTTTAAAAATATAAAATGACATATTTTTACTAATTATTTGATTTTAAATATAATATGAAATAAATTTTTAAATATAATTTTTGCTTTTATTTTATTTTTTAAAGATAATGAAACATGTGGTAAAAAAAAAAGATAATGAAACATGATATGTAGAGGCATATAGACATTATGATATCCATTCATTATTTTTTACTCTCTATTTTCTCTTATCCATTCAAATAAAAAGAGTGATAATATTTTTTTTGTTTTATCTTCTTTTCATTTTTTTCCTTTCAACTTTTTTTTGAAGAATCTAAATGAAGCCTCTCATGTAATACTTACCAAAAGAAGCATCTTAATGTCTCAGGAATGTGCCACTTCCATAGGCCTTTCCAAAGGCTACTCGTTTGCTGGTTATTTCTTGTGTGAAGGAATTTGTAAACTGAACTCACCATGAATCATCCATCATTAGATGATTTCCACCAAAAGGTATCGTCTACAAGCATATTTAGTGGTTTCATCATGATGATAGTATCAACAATCTCCATTGGGAGGAAGCTAGCCAACTTAACAACATCCCAATTCCCATCCGAAAGAATAAACTCATTCACCTTGGCTTGAGAGTTGAACGAGTCAACACCAGTTTTACCAAAAGATTATGAGAGGTTGGTTAGTTGGAGACCTAATATCCTACCAAAATGTTGTTGTCATACCATTATTCACTTTCCTACTAACTCCTTGAAGGAATAAATCCCATAATTTAGTACCAGTCTCACCTTCGGCTTTCGGACATGTTTTCGTCTTGAACATTCCATGATGTCGTAGATTCTGGACTGCGTATTCGCAGATATATAAATCCCACAATTTAGTAACACTGTTCCAGATATGGGAATTCCTTCTTCTTTTGATGACCGTGGGTGACATGATATCACCACATTTATATTTACAACTGAGGCATTTAATCCAGAGTGCTTCTTTGCTGGACCGGATCCCCTGAAAGCCTTGCTCTGATTATGAAGATCCTTAAAACCTAAAATCTGCCCTCATTCTCACATCTCTTCACCTTATCCCAAGCACTAAATGCATATTTTTCCCCTCACCGTAGATTCATTTCCCATCGGAGTCAGACCCCCTGAAAGTGACAGCACAGGGAAAGAGCACCACAGGGAGCGAAACAATCCAAATCTATCAAAATAGGACCAAAAACAGTTCAGATCAAATAAGAACAGTAATTAAGTTCCTTACCCCCCCCGCCCCAAAAAAAAGTAATTAAATTGTTCAACTTAGATAGTATCCCGAGTCGTGTTAATATTTTTTGGGAGAGCTTTATTGTTAATATGATTTTACCCGAATAATGAGTAATTATGTCTTAAGAAAACCTTGATCCTCATTTAACATTTTAAAAATTAATTAACTAAAATGCCCGAATTTGTATCAAGAAGATTTTTTTTTTTGTAAAACTTTCAAATCATGACTCATAATCCAATTGAAAATCCTTAAAAAAGGGTCTTGCTGGAAATGATTTCGTACTTGTTTTTCATGTTCTAATTGTTATGTCTAGAATAGAAGATTGAATAAAAAATATGGAAAAACACTGGTTCCAGTTCCCACACTTTACTTAAATTTTAATATATATTTTAATACTTTATTTTCGATGTTCTAATTTCATATAAGCTTTAAAAAACAATTTTTATTAAAAATTTTATGTTAACATCAGTTTAATATATAAATATAAAATTAATATTCTCAATTGATATGTTGGTATTTATTAATACCATTTGTGACATATTAATGTCCCTTTAAAAATGTAGAGATATTTATTAATACCATTTGTGACATGTTAATGCTCTTTTAAAAATGTAGAGATTATTGTTGTAGACAGAAAAAAGTGTATGAACCTGACACATTGAAAATAAAAATATAAGAACTTATATCAAAATTTGAGTAAAGTGTAGAGATACAAAATATTTAGCTGAAAATGATTCAAACCAAGGTTCTATAAATTCAACTTTTATTTGGCCAAAAATAAATAAATTTTAACTTGCATGCATTGTGTTTTCAATTTATTTTTTGAAATTTTTATTTTATAAAATTTTTGCCGGTGAATTGGATTGAGGAGAATTTTTGGCATTTTTAAAATTAAAGAAGAAATTTAAAAAAATACTTAATTGAAAATCATACTAATTAAGCTTTCAAGATCTCTAACTTTTATATATTGTCTTCCACTTTAACTATTGTTAGTTTTAAAATTCAAGATTGAATATTAAAAAAATATTGCATTAAAAATAGTTTCTACTAATTTTAAAGATTTTCCACATATGATTTGTCCAGCTTAGTTTCTGGAATTTTAAAATTGGTATAAAAAATAATTAAACATAACATTTTAAGTTTTTTCAACTTTTATATTAGTTTTTCAATTAAACTATATAATATAAATAAAAAAAATTTAAAGCAGCTTTTCTCTGTTATAAACGTGAGGATATTTTAGTCAAATATTTAATATTAGATTAATATTAGATTGTATATTGAATATATAATTACCTTTATTAAAAGCACATCTATGCATGATGAAAAAAATGTCTTTGACAGAAAAAGCTCCGAGTTTGAGATTGTACACTGAAAACGCACGTCATTCATTGATCGCCCTTCTTTCCATCGGTCCTCATGAAAGTCAAGCAAAACCATTATCATCATTATTTTCTATTAAGGGCTGCTTCTCTTTCTCATCTCTCTGGCTCTTCACCGTCACAGGCAAGCACGAGCTCATAGCGAAGCTCCTTCTCTTATTCTCACGGGCACCAAACGCCACTTTTACCCTCGCCACCTTTCCCTTTCTTGCTTATCTACTTCATGTAACCCCCTATTCCTTTTCTTCATATTCCTTAATTCATTCGTATTATAATGGCCACCCTGTTTCTCTTACTCTCCTCTGTTTTCCTCTTCCTTCTGATTCCTTCGTCTTCCCAGCTCGACGAAGTTTTCTTCCCGGGATTTAAGGGCGCCGGAGCCAACATAACCCTGAACGGAGTAGCAGCAATCGAGAAAAACGGAATCTTGCGGTTGACGAACCAGACAAATAGGTTGATGGGTCATGCTTTTTATTCGTCTCCATTCCAGCTCAGGAACTCCTCTACTGGTCAAGCTTTCTCCTTCTCTGCTTCCTTTGCTCTCGTCACTGTCCCTGTGTTCTTCAAGCTCGGTGGCCATGGCCTGGCTTTCACGATAGCAACTTCCAAAGATCTCAAAGCCTTGCCAAGTCAGTATCTTGGCCTCCTTAATTCCTCCGATATCGGAAATTTCTCCAACCATTTACTCGCCGTCGAGTTCGACACTGTCCAGGACTTCGAGTTCGGGGACAAGAACGATAACCATGTTGGAATCGACATCAACAGCTTGGTCTCTAACGCATCTGAGACTGCTGGGTATTACACCGACGATTCGGGCTTGAAGAAGCAAGATCTCAATATCTCCGGTGGGACGCCGATTATGGCTTGGGTAGATTACGATTCGGCTGCAAATCTCTTGAGCGTTACTCTTTCTCCTTTCTCGACAAAACCCAGAAAGCCGCTCTTGTCGTTCCCTGTGGATCTCTCACCGATTCTTAAAGATTATATGTATGTTGGGTTCTCTGCTTCCACGGGACTTCTCGCTAGCTCCCACTACATCTTGGGTTGGAGCTTCAAAATCAATGGTCCAGCTCGATCCCTCGATCTCTCTTCTCTCCCACATCTTCCTGGTCCGAAGAAGCAACCGACAAAGCTCATCATCGGCGTGACGGTGCCGGTTATATTTATTGCGTTATCCGCGATAGTAATCGGTGTTTATTTGTTCAGGAAAATAAAAAACGCCGACATAATAGAAGCGTGGGAGCTAGAAATCGGACCCCATCGATATTCCTACCAAGAGCTCAAGAAAGCGACAAGAGGTTTCAAGGACAAGGAGCTTCTCGGACAAGGTGGGTTTGGTCGAGTGTACAAAGGAACACTCCCGAGTTCGAAAACCCTGGTGGCAGTCAAACGAGTTTCCCACGAATCCAAACAGGGCCTTAGGGAGTTCGTCTCTGAAATCGCCAGCATTGGGCGTCTCCGTCACCGGAATCTCGTTCAACTCCTGGGCTGGTGTCGCCGGCGAGGCGACCTCCTCCTCGTGTACGATTACATGGCCAATGGTAGCTTAGACAAGTACCTATTCGACCAGCCGCAAATATTCTCACTTGGGAACAAAGGTTCAAGATCATAAAAGGTGTTGCTTCGGGTCTCCTATATCTCCACGAAGGATACGAACAAGTCGTTATTCACAGAGACGTTTAAAGCAAGCAACGTCTTGCTAGACAACGAGCTCAACGGGAGGTTAGGAGATTTCGGTTTGGCTAGATTATACGAGCACGGGGCCAACCCAAGCACGACCAGAGTGGTGGGCACATTGGGCTATTTAGCTCCTGAGCTACCTCGAACTGGTCGAGCCACCACGAGCTCCGATGTTTATGCTTTTGGTGCTCTGATGCTGGAAGTGGTCTGCGGAAGAAGACCTATTGAACCAAAAGCTTTACCAGAAGAGCTGGTTTTAGTGGATTGGGTGTGGGACAATTACAGAGAAGGGAAGTTGCTGGACGTGGTGGATCCAAAGTTGAACGGTGAATATGATGAGACGGAGGTAGTGATGGTGTTGAAACTGGGTTTGATTTGTTCCAACGATGTTCCTAATAACAGGCCAAGTATGAAGCAATTGATGATGTTTTTGGATGGAGAAGTGGAAGTGCCAGAGAGTTTGAGAGAAGCCAGGTGGAGGAGGGAATCATAGCCGTGAAGGGTTCGATGAGTTCTTGTTCAATTCGTTTGCGTCTTCTTCGTTTGGTGATAAGATGAGTGCGAGTTCTTATACTGGACACAGGGAGACATATGGTACTCATTTTGCTTCTTTTAATACTACTTCAGCTCTGTCTCTTCTCTGTGCCAGAGGAGAAACAAGGTGATGATTGATGATATATTGATACATACAATTTGTCATGTACTCAGATTTCTGGTTTTGATTTGAATTCGTTTGTTGTACAATTGTATCACGTCTCATTGTAGAGAGAAAATTTTGATGCTGCTGCTGATTGGACCAGAGTTGCATACAGTGACTCTGTTAGATTTTAGCCTGGATTCTTGAGGCTGGCAGATGTTTTGCTTATTGGATGAAGAATTTTGTTCATTTGCTTATATGTGCTTTTGGTCACATGATTCTGTTTATGAAGAGAAAAGAAAGACAGACCAATTCTGCAATTATGCTGCTTGAGTTCTGTATTAGATTGTCCCAGGAGCTCGATGAAAACTGCTAAATGAGAAATGGTTTTGTGTGCAGTTCCATTCCCATAATCAAAAAGTCCATTAATCGTTTCTCATTTTGGTAGACCCGCACTACAATTAACGGGCTTTTTTACTAACATGCTATAAACAGTAAACAAAATTACTTAAAATGTTGTACCATCAGAAATATTTACCAAAATATTATATCAAAATGTGTTCACAGTAAATGAGTTTTCGTATGTGAAAAACCATTCACACACACAACAATTTTATAGTAAAAAAATTTGACATCTACTTTTTTTCTAATGAATATTGAAGTTGTTTACTGAGTGAATGAGTTCAATTTTTTTATTGATAAGATATAATGTTCACTGTGAAGTTGTGACTTGTCTCTGCAAGAATTATTCTACATGCTTTTCTTTCCCTATTCTCCTTGTAATATTCCCTATAATTTAATTTTATTGAAGTGTTAATTATATAATGTAATATTTGAAAAGTAGAATGAATTATAAGAGTTTGTGTGTATATTTGCAAATGGACAAATTTGTCATGGTTTAGCCGGTGCAACATTTGAGTGAAATATTGTTTAAATAATGAAAGTTGATCCAAATATTATCTTAGATAGATTAAAGCAATTTAATGGACAAAAGCTACTGTTTCTTCCTAATTAAATGGTGACAGATCTAGCATACAGATGTTCTACAAGCATAGATATACCACGTTACCAAGCATGCAATTTAAAGGATGATTCATATATGGACGATCTATCCATTTATAAATGTACAAATGAATTCTACTTTTTAAATATTACGTTATATAATTAACATCACAATAAAATTAAATTATAGGGAATATTAAAAAGATAAGAGGGAGAGAAAACATGCAAAAAGATTCTCGCAAAGGGAGGGGGCATTTTCAAAATGAATATTATGTGTTATCCATAAAAAAAAAGTTGAACTTGTAAGTGAACACTTCTACTTTTCATAACAAAAATCAAATGTCAGATTTTCCGACAACAAAATTATTCTCTATGTAAATGAGCTTTTCACAAATGTAACATCATTTTTTGTCACATCCCAAGATTTGATTATTGAGTATTAACTGGGGAGGTATCTAATTAATTTTCTAAAAAAATAAATAATAAAGAAATTATCCCAAAAAAAAACTAAGAACATGTTTTGTATAATATTATGATCATTTTTTAAATCCATTGGAGCATATTTAAAATTAATTAGCAATGGGGTCTATTAATGTAATTTTAACCCACTAACTTATTATATTTTTTTTATTGTAATTCATAAAAAACCTTGACTCTTCCATTACCTTTTGCATATTAGAGGCGGAGGTGAAAATGGATTGTGGCTTTCATTTCCTTTCCCTTTCCCTCGCATGGCGTGGCATTCGGGGCTGAAATATTTTTAAGTATGTTTTTCGAAATTTTGCCTTATCACCTTCCCTACTATTTCCGTAACGCACAAGGGGGAAAAATTGATTCAAGGCTTTTTAGGATTTTCAAAATTCTGGACAGTACTTTGCCTTTGTTCTTAGTAGGAAATGAAGGGTTCTAAGGTTTCTATTTAAAATTATTTTTTAAAAAATAAAATGCTTAGATTTTGGGGTGAAGGGTCTTGCATTTTTCCCCTTTTTACTTTGTCTGGAGTTACTTTAAAATTATATTGAAGAATGAAAGAGCGAAATCATAATTGGAAATATAGGTGGATAGAATATTAGATTGAGTGCTTATATTAAGTGATTTTTAACTTGGAATTTCGGTAGAAAAAAAGCTATATATTTTGTGCTTGTTTGTTTTGTTACTTGTGAGATTATTTCCTTAGGATGTTTTTTTTTAATTATTGTTTTTTCCTTCTTTACTGTGTTAGCTAATAGCAAAGTAAATGGGCAAGAAATAGTGCCATGTGTTGCCCATAATGTTTGCATGTAAAATTTCTCGTTTGCTTTCTATACTTGAGGTTTTGCTGTATCTAGGAATTGATAATTTTCTCTTATAGTTGGTATTATGTTGTGGTAAATTTAAAAAACACTAAAGTATGAGCATTAATTGGTTAATCAAGGTGGCTAATATTGATATATTTGAGTGGCTATATTGAGGAATGCAAGAAGAAATTTGGCAGGTAATAAAAAATTTGGGGAGGCATTACTATCACAATAAATCCGGATGATATTTCAAATATGATAAGGTTTTTAAATGATTTTGCAAAATTCTGTCTTAGGAATTGAACATCATAAAAACTTGGTTATTTACTTTTATCATTTTTGCTGTCATTGCTCTAGTTCTTGATCAGGTGCTAACATTAATATTGTTTCAACTTGAAATTTTAAAGCTCTCTCAATTAAGTAATAGTAGACATTTTCTTATATATTTTTAAAGTTATTAATATCTTAAATGATTCCTTGTTTATTTATGCGTTACCAAACTCATTTTCTAAGATAGCAAGATTAGTGGATTGCTGGGAAGGTGATAAAGTATTTAAAAAAAAGATAATAAGCTTTATTATTGAATCTTTTAATTTTGATGATTGTTTACCAAACTTATTGCAACAGTATATGTTTACATTATATTCATGAGAATTGCTTGCATTCATTGAATGTGAAGTTATAAATATATGTATTTAGTTTATAATAAATAGTTAGATAATGTTAATATATGGGACTTATCTAGTAATAAGAACCTTTGTTTGATGTTAGGTTGTAGAAATAGTTTATGTGATTTAGTTGAATCATTGATTTGATTCTATTAGCAAGATTGTTGATACAATCCATTTTATATATAAATAGTTTTTCTTTTGTACTTGCTTACTTATTTCTTATAAGTAACTGTGTTATAATGTTAGTTATATGTGAACAATTCAATTTATTAAAATATTAAAATTTTCATCTCACTTATATTTTGTTTTTAATAATTTCATGTTACAGGTTAAATAGTAGACTGTCAAGGAAAGGAAAAGCAAAGAATAAGATTATATATATATAAATATATATATATATATATATTTATATATTTATATATATAATCCTTGTATGTTTTCTTTTGATGGAATGTAAATATTAGTTATCAAATAATAATGTAAGAGTTTTTCTTTTATTTAAGTTATACACACACACTCACTTATATACTTTCAATATTATTTTTCCTTCATTTTAAGGTGATTGCACTAGCTAATAACTCCCTAATGAAAACTCTATAGAATTTGGGTGTTTTACATTTCTTGTCTGAACAATTTCTGATATAGTATTTGAATAAATACATATCACAGTGTAAATTTAGATAATTTTGTTTACTATTTATAACATATTGGTAAAAAGCCGCAATTAACATGTTCAGACCACACCTCAATCAAATCTTTCTAGTGAATGACAGTTACGTAATCTTGAATTAGAAAATGAATTACAATTAAATAACCAATAAAATTTAAAAATAATATTTTGTAAATATTAATTTAAGTGGTTGTAAATTCTTTATTTTTAATTATAAATAAGATATTTAAATTTTAAATATTATAGTTAATATTCTTGTATGCAATTTACAATTAGTATTTTTGTTTGCAATGATCCAAATTAGTATTTGTAATTTGTTTTTCTAAATATTTTGATGATATCATGAATTCCATCTCCTGACTTTATTGTCATTCTTGCAATTTTATTGTCATAAAATTTGGCTCGTTTTCTGGTAAAATTAATATTTATTTATTTATTTAAAAGAAAAGAGTCTTGGTAGTGGTCTAATATGGTTGAAATAATTTAATTTTATATGGTCAATTTTTTTGAAGAATTATCTTAATTTATAGAGTAAAGTATACTTTTAATCTTCTAACTTTATATAAAATTTTAATTTAATCATTTAATTTTAAAAAATATTTTTTTAATCTTTTATCCCTAATATCATTAGTTTAAATGATTATTTTAAAAAAATTAAATTTAGTATATTAACATTTAAAAATAATTTATTAATATTTAAAAATTTAATGTAAAAAATTGTTTGGATAAAGTTAATCATATTATAATTAAAAAATACTTTATAAAATTAAGAAGTTAAAATAAAACGTCATATGAAATTAAAAAAATTAAATATATATTTTAACCTAATTTTTACGCTTTTTAGTTGTTACTTCACTTTTTCGCCCCGCTCATGATCGCAGAGACGAGAGATGATAGCTTAAAAGATTTTTTTTCCCCTTTCTATAAAGATCGTAACTATCTGTCTAGCATTAAATTCTATTTAACAAATAAAATAATTGCATGATTTATGGTTAGTAAACAGAATTCTGTACAGGTTTTTATTTTACATAGGTATTGACTTTTTTTGTTCAAATAATCATGTGGTCTTGTTAAAATAATTTTGATGATAATAATTAAAAGAATAATTTTTTGTCTTTTTTTAACAAAAAGACAAATATATTAACAAATAAGAAGAAAATGCAACTACAAAGATAATATTAAAGCAGAATTAATAATACTACTAGGTAAAGTAAAAGCAGAAAAAACAAAGGTCTCAAAGCCACACTTCTGAGTTCTATAGTTGGTAAAGTTTTGCAAGATTCTGAGGATATCCTGATCAAAGAGATTGTTTCATGCAGAGTAGAAGCAGGTTCCCTTGTTATGCCAAGCATGCAAGATTTCTAGATTTGGTCAATCTGGGAATCATTATCTATACAGATTTGGTTCAACTTTGTTTTAATAAGGAATCATAATAAATCAGACAAACGTAAAATTTTTTTGAGGTCATCAAACTTTAATTTCCAACATAATCTATACAGCTTAACGGTAACTCCTGATTTGAAACAAAGCCACTTTCTATAGAAAAGATTGTTATATAGTGATGCACAGGTGTTTCTTATAATTTTATGTATGATTAACATTAAAAATGAGAAAACAAAGAGATATGTTATTCGATACATATAAAATAATTATACCATAGTTGCTACGTTGATGATATGTTGCATATAAAACAATATGACTAATAAACCTTGGTGATGAAAATTAATCAGGGGTAGTCAACCACGTATGAGGAGTGTTTTCTTGGGCATCTTATATTT